GTGCAGAAGGGAGGTCAAAGCCGGTTCTAATACCACTCGCCACTGATGTTAGCCAACGTGGCTGGGAATCGAACTCGGAATTGCCGAGGTTAATAGCAGCACGTTAACCACTGTCCCACCACTCCCACCACCACCACAAACAACTCATCTCAAAGGGGAAAATATCTCTCATTTCATTTGAATACAAATCAGGGAAACCCAACACACGTGTTTACACAAATATAAATGTACACGTTTTAAGTTTGTTTTTGTTGATTTTGCCGACATGTTGGTGTGTTCGAATATTATTTCATTGAGTGCTTATATAGATATACATACACTCGTAAATATAAACACACATACGTATACGTACACACGTGTGTAGAGACACGTACATATGTACACATTTGTAAAGACACATATACGTATGTGTGTGGATATACAACGTATGTGTACATGTGTACGTATACTGTATACAAACATACATACACGTATGTGTATATACACCCATATACATATATAGACACACGTAAGTAGGTACCGCATACGTAAGCACATGCATACGTTATTACGTGTGTGTAGGTATACGTGTATGAATAGTATGTGTATCTATAAAGCCACAAACGTGTCTATGTTTGTGTGTGTAGCGGTCAGCGCGCTGCGCTACGAACCCAGCGACCCGAGTTCGATTCCCGCTCACGGCCAACACCAGTGACGATTATCTGAACCGGTCCTGCGCCTCCCCTAGGTCGACTCAGCCTTAAATTAGTACGCGGGTTAGATGTGTAAATATCGCCACTGGGGGAGACAAAGGCGGCCGGGCGTGGTGTTGACCACCCCACCACTCCCTTTTGTACCGTTGCCGGCCTTCATAGGTGCTCGCTAACAGCACTTGCCCCAACAGTCTGCTAAGGCTTTATGGGTGGGTGTTGGGTGGGGGATCTTTACCTTTGTTGGTGACCGCTCGTGTGTTAAACGCAAGGCGTTGGTGCGTCCATTGACAAAGCGACCACGTGTGTTTGCGGGAGAATGTATTTTTTTTTATGAATGGGCAGACTCCCAGCCTTGCTTGTTGCTGCACGGGCATCTTCGTACGCTTCCGTCTCGCGAGCCGGAAAGAGAGAAAAAAACGCAACGTACGCGCTTATGACAATCGATTCATGAACATAAACAAATTCGATGTAATTAGTTCTGAATTGTGATCGAATAGTGACGATTGTGAAGCTGAAGTCTCGACGGTGAGGCTTGCGATGGGGTTCTTTGCGGACTGCCTCGCCTTGGCATGTTACCAGGCCAAATCCGGGCTTTACCGCCAGCGGCTTGAACGCCTAATCGATTACTCGCCAACATGTTTGGTCGAGACTATAATTATAATCGGCACGGAGACATCTTCAAGCGACGTCCTGGCGACACGTGCAAACAAAACAAACACGCGCATCGTGCTGGAGGAACAATAGGCCGATGAACTAAAACATACATTCACATTGAAACTGATTTAGCTTTGGGTTTAACGCGTAGCAGGCTTTCGCCAACAATATTATCCGCAATAGAGAGGTGTTTGGTGTGAGCCCGTGTAGATATGAATGTGTCGTTAAAACCCGCCACCACCTGACACAGCCAATTGGTGAGGTTCGTCACGTAAACAAAACGTGGCAATTAGTTACTAGATCAGTACACGCCGGTGCGTTGGAGATTAAACCCACAACATTTACAATTCGCGTTATACTTTTTTAATTCCCGCTGTTTGTCAACAACTCTCAAACACCGCCGCCACCACTGGCGCCTTGTTGCTACCCCTCCCCCTCTACAGCTGACCACGCTGGTTTCAGTGACCACGCCACGGAAGGGAGGGAGCGGTGGTGGTGGTGATGAAGATGGCGGTGGCTAGGAGGTTTGGTTCCAGGCAAGCCTCCATGTGTGACCAGCTCTTACCAAACCCATCCCCCATCGGCCAATCCTCCACGCCCGTCAGCCTCCTCCTCCTCCTGCCGCTTCACGCGTAAACAAGAGCGCGCCTGAAGACCACGAATTCACGCACGACTCGAAACGCCACCCACCAATAACAACCGCCATTTCTCCACTAAGTGACGGTGACGTCCCCAAGGCGCCTGTGCCAGGCCAGGTGCACTTTGAGGCTGCCACGGGAAGTGTCGAGGGCTCGCTGCTGACAGGAGGAGGTCTCGGGACAGACCCAGCAAGTGCTATGGGTTGGCTGACTGAGATGACCGGCAGATGCACCAGCTGTACCCCCTACTGTGCCAACTCGCTGTATTTTAACCGCCTGGCGCTCCGCTCATTGTTGTGAGCGGTCGCTCATCTGCCCTCCGTTGTTGCTGGAGGGCCACTGCATCCAACTGCCCAGTAGCCTCCACCCATCACCCACCGCTCAATGCATCACGAGGATGAACAACAACAATTAACGTTGCCCATTCATTGAGATGTTTGTGTCGGGAAGAACGGTAGTGTGTAGTAGTAGTGGTGTTGTTATGGGCTATTTACAGGGTGCAACAAAAAAAATGTTCACGCTAATATGGGACTATCGTGTTGAATGGGAAAATAACGGATAATACAGTGCAACATGATAACAAATGTAATGTTAATAGCTTAAAAAAGTCTCCACTTGTTCGCCATCATTGTCAACGCGTGCCTGGAATCTTCTCCAGGTGGTCTCCAGAGCCCGGAAGCAACACATTTCTTGTGGCATTGTTGCACATTCTCAGAAGTGTTAACAGTTTTGTGAAGCACCCTGTATTTCACTGCATGCGACTCGAGTTAGATTTCCGCTCGTGGCCAACCTCGGTTGAACACAAGATTCGCTCGCTATTAAGCGGTACGGTATATGCGTTACAACAACAAACAAAGTAGCGCATAGAGTCCAGTCCACGCAATGTTGTCCCACGTCCGAATCGCGTCGTCGCACGCACGTCGGTGAATCCGAACCGCACGAAGCGAATTTTGGGTAGAAATATGTTTGACGTATATACGCGAAATCGCACAAAACGGACCCCCCGCATTGACCGGGGTAACCCCACAACCAAACCGCACCCAAACCCCGGGTCCTCCGCTGCGTCGATTCGGTCTCAAACGAGTACCTGGTAACGCTGTGGGAAGAACATTCGCCTGTGCGGGCGTGACGGTAGTTTTTATTGTGGCCACACCACCGCTCCACGTGGCGCGCTGCGCTGACCCCTCCATAGGACGCTCGCTTCACAGCGCTCTTGGCGACAGCGCTGTGGCCACACGGGATGACGACGATGATGATCTTTTCTGTGTATTTCGCCCATTGATGTGCTCAAGGGAAGGTGGACAGCTGCAGGGCGTGCCCATTAGCAAGACAAAGATCCACCCCCCTCTCCTCGTGTAGCCTGTAACAGACTGTTGGGGCAAGTGCTGTTAGCGAGTAGCACCTATGAAGGCCGGCACGGCGACACGAAAGGGGTGGGTGGCTAACACCACGCCCGGCCGCCTTTGTCTCCCCCAGTCGTGATGTTTACACACCGCACCAGGTACTCATTTGAGCCTGAGTCGACCTAGGTGTAAGCGGGAATCGAACTCGGGTCGCCGTGTTCGTAGCGCAGCGCGCTAACCGCTTCGCTACCGATCCGTTAGCACACAACAACAACAACAGCAGCAGCAGCAGCAGCAGCCATTTTCCGCGAAGAGACGGTGACGTCACCACAGCGATTGTGCCAGGCTAGGTGCGCTTTCAGACCGGCAGGAGGTAGCTAGACAGATCCAGGTGTCGTGGGTGAATTTGTTGGTATCACTGCCAGATGCACAGACCATGCTCCTCGCTGTGGCAGATCACTGCGTTTTACCCGCCTCTCCC